GATTTATTTTTAGCTCCATCAGAAACTGAATTGCATATGCTAATGAGGCAAATATTGTAAACAAGGATTCCCCTATTGTCAGACGTTGCTAAAAGCCCCTCCATTAGCGCATCTCTGGTTGCGAAATCATTTTTTTATTTGCTGTTCCTCCGTTCGAGTTTTTTTGCTTATGACTTCACGGTAGATGGAAACCCAGAAACTGCGAGATTTAGGCGCTTAAGAGAAAACGATATTTCGCTGGACGAATTGCTTAGTCTCGCTTTCCACAAAGTTAAGCTTGACCTCGATCAGCCGGCATCTATTTATTTGCGGTTGCGGGTGCATTTGTGGAAGCTGTGTAAATGAAGCGTGAAAGTATACAAAAACAGTAAGTCACAACATGTCTGGAATACGTAATTTCTGTGTTTCCTCTGACATTTCACGACATTTAATTTTTTTTAAATTTACGATTTTTAGCTTTTTTATGGACCCTCGACACCTTTCTCGGACCCTCGACATTTTACCCTCGACCCTCGACAAAAACCCAAACTCGTCATAAATATACAAACCAAAAATGTCGCCGTTAATTAATGGTTAAATCGAGTGTCCTATATATACAAACCAAAAATTTCGCCGTTAATTAATGGCTAAATCGAGTGTGATATATATTGAAGCCAAAAATTTCCCCGTTAATTAATGGCTAAATCGTGTGTAACATATATTTGAAACGCAAAAATTAGCCGTTAATTTTCGGCTAAATTTGTCGCGAGATTATTACAAAGACATCATTTAGCCGTAAATTAATGGTTAAGTTTATTCTTTGTATAATAATATATACTCACTTGGTTTGTGGCTAAGTTTTTGTTATGTTTGTAGACTACGTTTGTTGCAAAATTCGCAGTTATCTAAACTCCGACCAATTTGTTACGAAATGCGATATTTGGATTTTGAAATATGTGATTTTCAAAAGCGTTCCGTAAGCTCCACATAAAATGAAATGGTCCCGTTTTAGAAATAAACCCTACCTCAATCCTTCCTACAAATTTATAAAATTGATATGAGCTCGCTTTCTTTTGCGCTTTTCATGAGCAAAGTTAATTTGCCTCTACTCGGGTTACTGATTTCCGCCATTTTACGGCTACCGATGCTCGAAGCAACTCTGGGAAAAAAAACCTTACCACGTTTCTCTGTTCACTATAAGGTGTCTCTGACTTAAATATTAGGATAGTCATTTTTCGGTCGATGTGCCACCTCTCACGCGGTCTTGAAAAAAAGTCGCTCTTAAAATGGTTGAACCAGCTCTAATGGTCTACCTTTATTAAGCGGTCCAACTGGTTAAAGTGGTACAATCAGTTAAAATTATCTTAGTTGATTAAGAGGCGCAATCGCCTAAAATGGACTTACCAGATCAAATGGTCGTAGGAAAGAAAAACGTCTAAATATGTAAAATGACACAAATTGTTTAACCAGAGAAAATGGTCCAAGTAGTTAAAATGATCAAACCGGTTCACATGGGAAACTAGAAAATTGGACTAATCGATTAAAACGGTCTAACTAGAGAAAACTGTCCAATGGTTAAAAGGACCCAACTGGTTAAAAAGGTCCTAACTGGTCCAACTAGCTTAAAGGGTCAAATCAGTTGACACAGTTTCTTTAAATAAAATGATCCAAAGTTTAAAATCATCAGAATCATGTCTTAATGTGAACATAGGAGTGATAAAAGTTCTACGTAAAGTGGTCTAACTGGTACATTGGTCTTCCTGGAGAAATGTCCAGTTGTTTTAAAATGATCTAACCAGTCAACATGGTTAAAATAAAAAAATGGCCGAATCGGTTAAAATGGTCAAACTGAAGAAAATTGTCCAACTGATTAAAAGGACCCAACTGGTAAATAGGACTCTGTGCAATGCCTAACCTACAGCACTAAACATCTTCAACACATGACTAGAAAGCTGTTTATGATAGACTTCCCATAACCGATGTAAACAAATGATGGCACCATATATACTTGCTCATGACTTTTTTACAACTTTTTACAACAAACTAACAAATCACAAATGACTCTTGCTAATTGAGTCTCACAGCAAATAGAATAACAGCAAAACTGACCATCAGTTTCATGAACTAGACTTAAAAAAAAAAAAACCCATGGTTGTTAAAACATCAGTCACCACTTCTGTCAACAGTTCTTCTATCCTCATCCAGATGATCAGACTTCATGATCAGACTTCATGATCAGACTTCATGATCAGGACTATGAGAGGTATACCACATCAATTATGTGACATTGCATCAACTACAAGACATTATGTCCAGCACAAGGATAGAGGGCTATTGGAAAAGGTGTAACAAAACACAATTTACTTAATGTGTTCTGAATTTTGTTATAAAAATGTGAAAAGGGGTACACATTTGTAACGAGTCTTGAATCTACCATCTTCTGCAAATACAGTTTTCTTTCTCTTTGATGGTGCAACAAGACTAAATTTCATTTCCTCCCTTATTCCATTATAATGCAGGCCGGCATCTCAGGAAAATGTATTTTTTTTCTGACTTCTAATGTTAGAATGTCAGTCATGTATTTGGTTTCTCTTGTATGGGCAGATAAACAAGCAGAAATTACTTTTACAACACCTCCTAAAGGATGCCATCATGAGATAAAATCTTATTTCTTATTTAGTAATTATAGAAATAATACAAATAAATATTATCGTAGTGGCAATTATCATGATATTACAGAAAATAATAAAAGATCTAAAGTTTGGTTTTGTGTGAAACTGCAAGAATGCCATCCACAAGGTTAAGTTGTTTTTCTAAGATAATGGATTTTTGTCCACCTATAAAATGTTTGAGAAAAATTCGAAGGTTTTGACAAAGGGAAGCAAGCTCTTTCTTTACTGAGATCCTTTCAAATACATATCTGTGAACAAAGTAGAGAGAAATAGGACATCACTGGCAGGTCATAGAAGGGTCACAGGTTTTGGCAAGTTGTTCTCTGTTATGGGCAAACAAAACCCAGCTTTAGTCAGTCACTAAGGGTATGCACTGAGTGACATAAAATCCCTCATGTCTGATATTTCGTGTTCAGGCATTCCTTTGTTACTCCATATTCAACTATTTTTTATCTTTCATACAAAATAAGGGAATATAAATTATACCAAGCAGGAAGGGAGGGTACAATTTAACTGAAACTGAAGCAGTATTAATCCCATTGTTTATATTAACACTTAAGCTTCGTTGTTTAACTGTTTTTATTTTACTGAAAGTTGTGTGAAGCCAAGAAACATTAATCAGAAGCTTCACTGCAACTTACCTTCACTGGACAAATGAGAAGAATATTGTCAATGGAAAACATTTTACAAATAGAGGACTCTTTTAGAGTGGAGTAGAATTATAACAGTCATTTCCCAACAAGGTACTTATGGTTTCAGAGCCCCTCTTAGTAAATTAAAATTTTGATTAATCTCTGAGCTCTAATTAGTATTAAGTAAAATCTCACCTTATTGCATCTTTAGAATAAGTTGAAAGAAGGTGATGAAAAAGATCAGTGAAAAACTGAACAGAGGACTTCTCAAGAGCCATAAAGTTCACAACCTATCAAACACAAATCATGTCATTGTTAGCTTCTCTTTTGTTGTTTTGACTGACAAATGTATGATATCAGCTGGAATCATCAAAGTGGTCCACCAACTATATATACCTTGTTATGAAAGTTAGTGTTCAAGTTTCATTGCTGTAGAAAAATAATATTTAAAGAAAAGTCCATGCAATTGACCCAAATCTATCAGATTTGAGTCGATTTAATTCATTTTTTTTCTAATTTCTGCTCCGTTTATCAATCTACCAACTCTTAGTTTTCTTTATTTCCATTATTTTGGCCCCCAATTTAAGAGAAATGTCATACATTTTTGACAACTATGAAAAAAAGTTGTTTGATACCTATACTTTTTCTGCACCAGTATCTTAGACAACAACAAAAACCATAATGGAAATAGCAAGATTCCTTCCATTGACAGCCTTGTTTAGCAATAATTTCACAACCATTGTTTGTCTTAGAGATTTAATACTTTGCATATGAAAATACAATTTCATCCTATTAACTATTACTAAACAAATTCAATTTCTTTTTGTGTTTCCCCTATTTTTAAATCTACGCCCCACTTTGAGTTCATTATCTTTATTAGAAAGGATAACAAGTAGCCTTGATTTTAACCAGCATACATTTCTTCTGGTAACAAATTATGGTATTGTCAGACCAATAAAAGTTGCAACGTGTACAATGTTTGTAACACTGTTCCTGAAGGGAAGTGTCTACAATACTGGCAGATCTCAATTCTAAAACTAGAGCACTTTTGTTTCCTCAGTTGTCAAAAATATGTGATATGTGTTAGGTAATTGTGGCTTAGGGTTAAGCAAAATTACTGCAAACTGAGGTCTCTAAAAATAAGCTTGATAAAAGTGGAAATGAGAGTTGAAGAAAAAAACCTCACTTTAATGAACATGACTTTTCCTGTCCTACTTCATGAGGCAAGAATTCCCCTTGAGGGATAGTCATCAAATAGTTATGTCAGAAAATTATCAGTCACTAAAACTATTGATTAAATTTGCCCAAGATGTGGGCTGCTCTCGAGTACCTTGAGCATGGATAGAGACAACGCTCTTGTAGCAAAAAGATGACAAATAAGACGTAACAGGTTATCAAGACTGTGAGGTGCTAAGCTGCTCAGCAGTTTAAACTTGTCCCAAAAAGAATACTGAAAAGTTACCTGAAAAAACAAAATGCAAATCACAGAGAAATGTTAAAACTTTACTGAAATTAGCTTTCTATGTTAACCAAAAATGCTTTTTTGGTAGGTGCTTGTAAAATACTTTAAATGCAATATAAAGAAAAATTTTATGAAAATACATTTGACTTTGCAAGATTGGACAAACAGAATGTGTTTATCTTTGTTACTCAAACTGGATTGTTTTCCAATAGTACAAGTTTGTCTGTCTTGCTCTTGTATGGGAAATTTTCAGGAATATCCATCCCATCACGCCTGTATCCTCTCTCGCTAAGCAGTTGAGAAAATGTACAACATGGCATGTGGATGTGGCTATAAACAGCTCATGCTTATCTCAGATAGAAAGTGGCTGCTAAGAAAAGTTGTGGTTTCATCAATCTGTGCATGTAGATCACGTGTCAATAAGTACAAAAGTGAAATTTTTTCTAGCTATGATCAGTTCCTTGTTTAATCCCAAATCAATTTTCAATAGAGTTTCTATAGTAATGTAAAGATCCAGGTGAGTGGGAACAAAGAAACTACTAAAAACAAGTACCCATTACTCCAAAAAAGGAAAATTAATAGGGTCTGCTCCATAATGAGACTGAGCAAAAAAATATCCTGTTTGTTGCTTACCCACTGACCAAGGGCTTGAAATGTTATTTTCTACAGGTAGATTAAACTCAACTGTTGTCCACAGTGTTTTTCAGACTAAACCAGCAATGCAACAACGGCAAGTATCATTTAGTTTGGCATGCTACTTGTGCTCCAAAATTTCATTGATAATTTTCTTAACATACATACACACACTTGATTGGACTCTCCCCAAAGGGTCTTTTCAGGCCAATTTATGAATACAACTAAGAAAAGGTAGTTAAGGGTAAAATGAAAAAATTACTAAATTTTTTTTCATGTGGAGCAAAAGCCACAACAGAGATAATGTACCTGGTAGCTTCTGCTGTTTTCACAAAATTTTTGACCAAGGTAGGCATAGTAAGGATTGTACATTTTCTCCTGTAAAACATCAAAAGTTAAATAGGAAAGAGTTAAGCACATCATTCTGAATTTACTAACAGGGTACTACGTTCAAAACAATACTTATCATCATAATTATCATTCAGTCATGTACCTGAATACAGCAGTCAATCAGAACATGGATGACTTCCCGAGTTTGAACATCTTTCAAGTTCAATCGCATCAACTTTTCAAATGCATCAATATAATCCTGGGAAAAGGCAGAGCATATTCTGTAGTAAGGTTGAAGCAAGTCATATCAGTGATTTTTTTCCCCTTTGTAACTATAGAAAAATATATGTTAAAACAATGAGGACTTCCCAACATAAAGTGTTGATATCGTTAGAAATATTCCATAAAGAACAAAACAAAACAATAGTACAGGGATGCAACTTACAGTATCTTGTCATTGGTGACAAATCGTCCTCATGCAAATGTAAAAGTGATTGTGTTCAAGTTATCTGTTTACCTCACTTGTCATCATAATAAGGAAAACATTCTTTCGGACATCAGTGTTCATTCGTTGTTTTCTTGCCAGTTCTAACAGCTTGGTGTTTTGAAGTTTGGTAGAAAACACTTCCATGGTGTTAATTTGCGGTGTCTGTGGCAATGCATACCCTACTGTCCACCAGCGGCCTTTTAAACAAAGAGTATTAATATTAACTCAACCATCTTTCAGAGCCAAGTTTCCACATATCACTTCTGAATTAATCTTTCTACTTTTCTATATCCTTGCACTACAGTCAAAAATTTGCCTTTAGTTATTATTTTCTTCTAAATAGGTTCAAAATATAGTATGTCATGTATAAGGTAGATATTCAGTGTTTGCTTCACCAATACAGAGTGAAAATGATGTCCATAATGTTTGCTTAATAAAAGATATTATACATACAAGGCTAAAAAGATTAAGAAAAGTTATTAAAATGTTAAAACCAAACATTTTAGGCTGTTTGCCATGGCAAAGTGAGTTGTGCAATAAAAGGTAATTGCTAACCTCCACAATGAACAGAGTTACTAATCAGTGACCTTTCGAAATAGGTTATTTCAGATGTTCAGAATTGAACTTAATAGCGGGAAAAAACATCAGTATGTACTAAATGTGATCTTAAATTGTAATTGATATGAAAACAAAACTCACAGAAGGTTGTTACAGGTTTCACGCGAAACAACAAGAATGTGAAAACCAAAATCTTAAATTCACTTGTTGGCTTATGGTGTAGTTCCTCTGTTATAATATAGTTATTCTCTATTACTCACCTTTTAACTTAACATTCAGTAAGTCCTCCAGACTGACTTTGAGCTGATTGGAGACTAAACAGCCTTAGTTAATAGACAAAAACTACATCAATGCTGATTTGCCTTTAGGTTATTATATCTAACAACAAGATGCTTTCAGTAAGTGTAAATGGGGTACATTTAGCAGAGCCCTAGATAAATAAAGAATCGTAAGACTGGTTAAAAGATGGAATGTCATATACAGTATTATTCTCAACAAAGAGAGTGTTTTCCATTTATTTGCTAACACAGTGATCTCACAATAATGTCAAAACCCTATATCCCTATTTATGTTGGGATTTATATTTATCTTGGGTTCCTTTATGTAAATTGTAGCTGCTAAATTACTGTAACAGTTGTAAAGTACAAAACACCTCCTTATAATGTGTCTTACCTATAATATTTAAATCTATACATCTCTGGTGATGCTTGGAAATTCATTGACCTCTTAAGAACCTTGCCCTTATTTTGGTCTTTCTCATGAAGAAAGATGTATTCCACTTCTTTAATACCCAAGTTTTAACCCACGGTTCATGATGGAATTTGTGCTCCTTGAGTTCACATAAATCTTTAAATAATTTCCAAAAATTCTTGAATTTATCTTTTCACTTCATTAAGTGTTGGTACTCCAATTAAAAATATGCAAATAATACCTGACTCTCTGGTCAATGAGTGAAGAGTTTTTCTAAGGTGTTCTAATTGTGAGCAATCATAGCCTGGTATCTTTCTTAAATTGTTGTTGCGTAGCTTAGTGATTATTTCCAACATGAAGCAAACTCTAGAGCTAGGAAAAAAAAGAAAAAATTGATCAGGTAAACAGGCCAAGCACAGGCAGGCACCTAAGGCTAGTTTACATCACAGAGCAACTTGTTAGCGCTGAAAATCAACATGTATAAGTTAGTTCTCGTTCTCTAATCACTTGGGCATGAAATTTATCACCAAACACCCTCTTTGGGTACACATGTACTTCAGGGAAAGAAGTATTGATACCAAGCTTTGGTTTATACATTATAACACTGGCACATATCCAGTAAAAACCTCAAATAAATTCACAGTGATACCAGATGCACTCTGACAGATATAAACCCATCTGACACAATTCACTTGCAGTTGGAATGTACATTAATCTTGTAGGCTTATTTTATAAAGGAACAGGGCTGCACACTTACTCATCAATCAACATTGGTGTAGAAGATGCCTTTGCTTGAATTTGGAGAATGATTTCCTACAAAGGAAAAAAAATCATTCCTTCACAAATAAATTCACAATGTTAATGGAAAAAAAAAAAGGAAAACAATGAATTTTTGTATTTACATATTGACATAGTCATTTGAAACAACAACAATCAAGCAGACAGAGTTGGAATAAGTTATATCTAGCTTTCTGAGGCAGATCACTACCATTATGCACGATAAGATATTAATCCTCTCACTGCTCTACATAACCCATCTAAGTCCCCATGATGGACTTAAACAAGGAAATCTCTGTCAATGAATAAAATTTGACAAAAGAACTTCAAAATACTGTTATTAATGTTCAAATTATTAGTTATTACTGTTCAAATACTGTATAGCTGTTTTGGCTCTTACTCTGAAGCAAAACAACAAAGTCCGCAAATTGTTGACCAATATTTTATTATATCAGACTTGACTTGCTCTTTATAAAAAAGGTTAATATCCAAAAATCATATTCAAAATCTGCTCATTAATGGCTTTAATTACTCGAAGTAGCCTAAAATATCTGATTGCTGCTATTAACACAATGACATGTGAGAAAATCCTTCATTGTAGAGCTAGAGCAATATTAGTTCTGAATTTGCCACAACTATGTGTTTAAATGACACAGAATGAACTCAATTGTTTCAGATAATAATTGTAATAGTGAGCAGACAGTTCCATCCCTCATTCCTATTTACGAGCACTAATGGCATTGACATTGTTATGATAACATGAATGGGTAATTACACTGAAATTATCACCTTTAATGCTGATGGATCACCTCTTCTGATTTCTGCTCCAACCACTAGTAAAAGGGAAGTAAATAATAGACTGTAAAACCAGGACCGTCTGATTGATTAAGGGTAACATTGAGCAAACTATGGATGCTGAAAATTAATTTGTCATTCAAAACTAGCAAAAGGTAACATAGAAAAAATCTTAAATCAGATTCCTAAATGCATATTAAGAAATCAAAATGGGAGAAAAGGGAATTTTATAAAAATTTGTGTAATAATTCTGGATTGAGTTTTTCTTAAGTTTATCATCACATGAATCAACCAAGCTAATACTTTAACCTCTGCATTTTTTTATGATTTTTATTATTATTCAACAACATCACTTATTCTTTTGCTGAAGTCAACCAAAAATAGAGTCTCTAATTTGTATTCAAGACAAATTTAAATTGAGACTGTTGGCTACCATAGATTTTTTATTATTCGAGAACATCACTTATTCTTTGGCTGAAGCCAACCAAAATAGAGTCGTAATTTGCATTCGAGACAAATATAAAAATTGTGAGTGTTGACTACTGTAGGAAATAACTGGAACATAACAATATTAATGTTGTAGGATTATAATTTATTATCCAACTACACTTAGATGAGTACAAATAACACCATAGACGAGTACAAATATCACGCGGTATTTGTACTCATCTATTGGAGTACCGGTTAAACAAGTTTTCTCGCATCGCGCAAGCGAAGAATTGGATTGTAGTTACGAAAAAAACAAAACGGACAATTTGAATAATCTGACGACGAAGAGTCAGAATGGCTGGCAAATATAGATCCAAGTTTATTAGATGAATCGAACAAAGAAAAACAGCTTGATAACCAGAAAATTTCTTCATTTAATGAAGAAAATAGAAACAGCAGCACACTGCGCCAATTCCGTTCCGCTTCGCATACTTCTGTCACGCACTCCTCGTAAATAAATATCCGCGAAATTCGCAAGCACTGAAATAACAGTTTGGCGTGTTGGATAACAAATAACTTATTAGACGTTTTGTTGTGTAGTATCACTGAGTATTTTACTCTTTATTTGTATTTTGACAAGCCCATAGGGCGAGTCAAAATATGGCACAACTCGTAAAAATACAATTAAATAAATATTAAGACAAAAAAAGCTAAAAGAGTAAATTACCCAAATACCCTTTTAAATTCAATGTCTCTTGCAACATTTAAAAAAATGACCACTTCTATCCTAGAAAGGATGACAAAAATCCCTTTTTAATGTACTTTATTATAATTCTCTTGCTTACATTTCAGAAGCAGTAGAAGTAGTTCAATATCTTTTTCACTAAATGAATTTACCAGCTGTTGAACAATGTCCTAAATGAGACAGCAGTGAGTAATCTGTGAAGGAATGAACAATGGGAGAACAAGTCATGGTCAAAGAAAAGCAAGGCAAATATTAGCAATACATTTGATCCTGTAATAACACTTCAATACTCAGTAAAACATTTGGTTATTATATCAATTTTCAACAAAGAGAGGTGCCTAAAGAGTAAAAGGAGTCTATTTACTTAGTCCACTGCTAGCTCCTCAGAGCTACTAGCACAGTCCTTGTCTGGATATTTACCTTCCAAAGAAATTATAAGATTTAAGTCTCCTGATGTACCAGATGTTATTTCAGTTTCCCAAACATTATTGCAATAACAAAAATACAGTATTTGTCTAAAAGTACACATACTTTAAAGTTGCACAGATGTGCAAACAGAGCTACAACATTAAAACACTCTTTCCCCAGTCCAGAACTGCCTTTGTTATGATGGTGTAGTTCATCAAACAATTCTGCCAGTCTCTCAATGAAGAAAGCAGCTTGGAATAAATACCCAGAATAAAATTAATCAATACAGAATACTCATCATCACTTGGAACATCTGATTTAGTAAAAAATTAATGTCAGGATGGCGGGTAAGATTAGTCCTATCAACACTTGTTCATGACTACATCAATAAAAATTAAGTGTGATTGCAAGTCGATGGCTCCATTATAAGTTTTTCCATTGTTTCTTAAATAATTCATAACACAATGCAGTTGGAGTTCTCCCAAACAGAAGTATTTAATATAAGTCCCTGTTCAAAAATTGAACTCCACATGAGATGAACCAAATTGCAATTTTAGTTGGCCCAAAACTGGTGGAATTGAATTCAGAGCTGCAAAAATGAATCTTTCAGTCAGTGGGATTTCAAATAATCCAGTTTATAATTTGTTCATTAAGTTGGATCACGAAAAGAGCAATGTTCATCCCACAGTCCATCTTCACACATTCTATCCATCTGAAGCAGACACAGAATGTGTGAGTGGATCCAAATTCAGTTGGATGAGCTCATAATTTCATCTTTAGTTAGTTAAGTTTGTCTCAAGTTAAACTCAGTTTAAGTCAATTCTACATATCACACTCGAGAGAAGCTAGGTGTTCAGTTTTTAACTTCCAGAACTCTCTCAGCTTGTCCAGCCTTTACCAGGAATTTTGTAAACATCACAAACCCCTAGCAAGTGATGTGATAGTGTTTATTGAATCCCTGGTGTTTACAAGGAATATGCAGCTTCATGGGAAAATGGTAGAACACTTACAATCACATTTTACCTAATAGGTCCTGAAGTACAGTGTAAGACAAGGCTCCCTATATAAATATTCATCAAGAAGTTTTACTGCAAGTAAAAGAAAACTTACCTACATCAATTCCAACATGACTTGAGAGAATTGCCAGCAACATAATATGCTCCATTAAAAGTTTGTCAGGCATCATGGATACAGAAACACAAGAGGCCAGAATATGATTACTTAGGATCTTGTTCACATCTAAGAGGATTAAAATGTTAGCTGGCTTTGTAATCATTCAGGTGATTAAGAAAATGACAACATTAATCCTCCCAGTTCAAGGTTTACGTTGACATTTTAACCACAGGCAGCAACAGTGTGTAAGTGGTCAGAGAAGTGTGGAACATGGGAAGGAGGTTTATCTGGTAGGTCCTTAGAAGTCTCCTGGAACTGAAGAAAGATTTTTGGGGGCATAACACAATTGTGTTTGCTTGATGCCACATTTTCCCTTTTTGTGTCCTTGTTTCAGCTGCCACAAATGAAACTTCAATTGGTAACCAATTTACGTTAATTTTTGTGTAAGAATGTTACAGTAGTGTCTTCTTATTAATGATTAATAAATTATGTTCCAACATTTGGCATCCATAAAGAACAAATTAGCTATCTTTGGGTGTATCAGATTAGTGGATTGAGTACCCAGTTATTTTCAAGCTTTGCATTTAGTCTGACAGTCTTCCATTTGTGTCTATCTTCAACTACCAAAATCTAATCTTATTGGTTTACTTGGGGTACATTTAGGTGAAATAAGTTATTTTTTACACATTCCTTTTCACAGAGAGCTTCTTGTACTTCCAGAATTTATATATTTTTTGGCTAAAAAAGGACTTTCCTCAGTTCTTCATTTAATTCATTCTCTCAGTTCTCATCACATTTTATTTTAGGAGGTACATTCACTCAATGTTGATACTTCATGGAAAAAGTTTTTTTTTTTGGTAGCCAAAGTTACACAATTGTAAGGTGACATTTAACCTTACTCATTTCCTTGACAATTGACAACACATCAGATTGCATAGAATGATTGAGGATGCTAGGTAAAGCTAATCCTTCCAAGTCACTTAAAAGAGATCAGTCACTCAGAAATACAAGCCATTCAATGTTCTTTTGGGTCATAAGGTAAAATTAACTGTTTTGCAACAAATGCCAACTTGCATGCTACCCTATTTCTTCATGCAACTTTTATCTTTCCCTGTTTTATACTGTACTGTATCTGAATGCTCCAATCAACCAGAAACAAACATCTATCCACAGGATACTATGAAATAAAAAATGATACAATATCTCATGGAATAGATATGAATGTAAGTGCAATAATAAAATAAAAGCCTTGACATACCGTTTCGGCTGTTTTGCATGTAGATGTGTTCAATCTCATTGCTGATAATTGACATATTTCTCTCATTCAGCCTGTCATAAATACAAATATAAAAGATACAACAAAGATACAAATTATAGTGAGGGGTGGAAAGGCAACATTTTTATATGACATATAAAAATGTTGCCTTTCCATCCATCCCTGTAATCAAGCAAAATTATTTCATGTTCATGCAGAATCACAGTTATTCATACAAAAAGTGCAGCAGACTCTCATGAAGTTGATCACAGTTTGAAACTACGGCTATCTAATTTGCATGCATTTGAGTTACATTGCATCTCATAAGCTCTTTATAGAACTGAAAATTGTGTTTCGTGTTCTTATCAAAATACTCATGTCTTCTACAAAAAGTATTTTGGGCAGTCTTCTGGATTTAGTAATATCACACTGTGTGCAGTTTAAAAGGATCTAAATTTACAACTTACCTATTCAGTAGACCTTTCATCTTACATGATAGTCTCTGTAAGTGTTCATTTTGGTTCTGCGACAAGTTCTTGATTCTCAAATGAGGGGGAACGTATCTTTTAAACTCATCTGTTTGGTTAGAACTATTAGCCTTACTGCCACTGTTTTTCAACTCAAAATCAATCTCTTTGTTATTTTCAAATGTCTCCATCAAATCTCTCTTATCAGTGCCATAATCTTCCTCTTCAGATCCCTCGCCGTCATCATTATTATCATGACCACTGTCATCAAAACTTTCATTGTAGTGTTTGTTTTCAATGCATTCACCATAACTGGGATCACTAGTACTGTACTCATCATCATTAACATCATGATCATTGTCATCATCATCATCACTTATTTGAGAATCACCATAGCTATCATTGCTGTCTCGCTGCGCACTTTCACTCATGTTTAGTTTAGAATTTCCATCAATGCCCATGACATCATAGTGTTCTAACTGATTATGCAAAATATAAAGAAAAAAATGGTCATATTTTACAAAGGACTACACATAGACAGTTTGAATTCTTCATAAATGTCAAGAATTACCTCCTTGGAAAATAGCCCATCACTTGACTTCAACTCATCTCCACTATCTTTATCATGTTCCTTTAGCTGATGCTCGCAAACTTCTAATAAATCTGGTGTCAGTTATGTCAAGACAACAATGTAACAACATCCAAACGTCCAGAAAGAATGGCACTACATAGCTGTGGTTGTTTTGAAGATGATAACTAGAATTATCCAGGCCTTGGTTGCTGATATCCACCTCAGCCTTTGGCTCTGGTAGATAACACAAACCTCAGCCTTGATAATTTTTAGTATAATGTTCATCCTCATCCAATAATTGTTAATAGGCACAAGTCTACTGGCGTTTTATCACAAATGCTGCAATCTGATTGGCTATGGTACTTACTACCTATTCTGTGATAAGCAGTGAGCAAAATTGGTGGCCTAACAGTTTGAGTAGATTATCTAAGTAAAATGACACTTTGAGCCTGTCTTATTGTTTACTTTTGAAAGTAAACAAGATTTATACTGGAACAGTTACTGTAATTTCCGGCTGTTTACCCACAGGTAATCCGTTGATTTGGCCTTAAACACACGCCTCTGCGGGTAATAGGGAGGTGCGGGTTATGCGACAATTTTGAAATCTACTGGCAGTTGAATCAAAGAAAATTCTCACCTACATGCATTTCCACCTCTCAGATGAATTTTATTGTATTAAAAGTGCCATAAAGCGGCACGAAAACATGATGCTGACTTGAGCTCATTTCATGCACAATTAGTACAAATTTCCTTTGTTTTCAAGGTGCGGGTTATCCACCAGTGCGGGTAATCTGTTGACTTTTTTTTTTGCTGCATGATATAATCGGCTGGTTCGGGTAATCGGCCATGCAGGTAAACGGCTGGAAATTACAGTAGGTTATTCACTCGGCTTGCTTTCAGTACACAGTAGCTGATCAGGGTTTCACCCATAAACCATTTGTCACAAAACCAAGCTTTCTGTACCAAAATAGCTAGTTACTGGCATTATATAATCACTAACATTTTAAAAAGAGTATATCAGCTCTTATGACAACTAGCCCATCCCGCCAGGGTTTGTCTTGTTTCCATAGCTTGAAAGAATTAGGAGCATTACTATGTTAGTCCATCGCAGGTTTCTCTCCAGAATTCCATCAGCCTTCCTTGATGGTTGACCAGTACTCATTAATACTCCTGGGAGGCGAGGAGAGCAGCACTGTGAGAGTAAAACGTCTTGTCCAAGAACAAACACAGTGACCCAGCAGGGTCTGAAACCTGCTCCCAACTTTTACATAATTTGTAATTTATAATGAAAAGATACAATCAAGACCATCCACTTTGAATTTCTTGCTGGTAACTTTCTCCTTACTGCCAATGTTTAAAAGTTTTTCAAGCCTCTTTATCTCCTTGTCCTCTTTCCTGTTCTCTGCTAAAAGCCTCTGTTTGAGGAATTCCTGTCCTTCTGCAACTTCCTGGGTATAGATTATTGAGAGTTAAATCAAAACGAGGGAGCATTAAAAGTAACAAATCAAAATATTTTTTGCTTCCAATTAACTGATGAGTGTTTCTGGTGCCTGGTAAAGAACTTTTAATTATTTCTATGCTCTTGATACCTTCAAATTTACCTTTCAGTCAACCCAGACAATTAAGTCACTAATAATATTATTAGATGCCTCCATAAAATATGCATTCTTCACAGATTTTTTGTTTGGAATAATAATCATAATTTACTCTATGTGAGAGATGATATACTACCTACTATTAGGAAAGACCTGGATGCTTCTTATGGGAGCAATATGAAAGACTACTGGAAATAATGTAGTTGTTGACCAATGGCTCCATGTTTAGAAAAAAATAGCACACGACAAATATCAGGAAACATAATTTTAAGGTGGCTGAACACAGTTTTCACGAGTGCTTTTGCTGATACAATTCAGCGAGTGCACAAGGATTGCAAAAAACAAACATGCTGTCTACAGAGCGGTCACTTTATCTACTCAACACGTACCCGTACCATCTGTGCTATTTTTCTCTATAGTTGGCGCAGTGTATAGAGGGCTTTAATCTTTTATTACAAAGATATGTTAGAAAAGTTAACGGTGCAAAGAACCCAGCAATTCTCAGCTTTTTCGTCGTTACCGGAAGAAACCAGTTAAATGCAGCGCATGTGTAGTAAGTAAAAGAATTGTGATTGAATAGAAAATTGCTTTCTCGAAAATATGCCTATTTCTTGAGAACCACTCATTAGAATTTCACGAAATTTGGCACAAAAATAATTTAGGAAATAAGTAACTGGAGTATTGAAAAAAATTTATTTTAAACAGAGGAAATTCTATAAAATTGAGTGAACCTTCAAAGGGATAATCAAAGATCTCTCTGTTAAATTGTCAGCAAAATGGTGTTAACTTGTGAGTATTGTTACAAGCTCGCTGCATGCAAATTATAAAGAAAATATAATGACTAGATTTTCTACAAAGAAAACCGATTTTAATTGCTTCTTTATATCTATTCATGTCCCCATGGCAATGGCACATACATCAGCTTAACTATCGAAAAAACAAAGTTTGTGTTGTTAACTTGCTAGCTGCCAGTTTTGGTAACTGAGAGATCAAGGGTTTTAGAGAAAATGGTGAAAGAAACAAGGGTATCAAAAACTGTGTTCAGCCACCTTAGGAATAAGTACACTCCTGGAAGATTTAATTTTCATCTCTGCCAACAAAAAGAACCTAATAACTAATTAAAACACTGACAGTATCCTGAGTCGTGATGAATAACTCCATGTTTTGGAAAATTGTCTCACCATGTTTAAAAAAAGTCTACAATTGACAACTGTACACTATTTTGTATCTTGCTTGAAGACTTGGTCACTTACATTACCCTTTCAACCCTTCATAATTTGGAATCAATTGGAATCTCAACAACCATGGGGTATTCCATTTCCATATAATTATACTTCTAGATAGCCAAGATAGAAATTGGATGGTGGCTGGAGCATACAAGAGGAAGTGGCTAAAGATAATTCACACAAATGTTTCTGGGGATTAAAAAGGTGTCATAAAGGGAAAACCATAATCAGAAATCCTGCACACGGTGTACATTTTTTATGCTTAAATGAGTTAGCTTGTATTTCCTCTTCTTGAGCCTTATCAAACAAACCCTGACAGTAAACATTTCTCTACAAAATCTTTAACTACCTGTTTAAAAAAGGTACACCATTTATTTGTCACATGTCATTTCACGTTTTAACCCTCATCCATAGGATAACCAGTTTGACTAATGCTGTTTTACAGCCTTTGTAAAAACTGAAACCAACAGCTATATGAAACATGCCTTAGTTCTCCTTCTTTTCCTTTTCTTGGTTGAGACCATACCACGTTTGTTTCCTGTAGGTTTCTCTGTTAAATCACTGCCTTCCTTTAGCTTGTTTCTGATGAATCCACTGCTCAACATTTTTGTGGTCTAGGAAAGATAGTTCAAGTTTCTAATCACCTGACAAGCTTTTCCCATATTAATTTTGTTCAATATTAAGTTTTCCTTTATTGTTGTTTTTAGTTTGGTGTGGTGCAGTTCTGAAATGAACTCAAGAAAAGTTAGTTAAGGATAAAGTTGGACAGCAACATCTATACCAAGTATTGCACATCAAGATCAGACATACCTTCCCTTTCTTATTGGAGAAAAAAGCTGCCTTTTTTGCCTTCTTCTGAACTCTTGCCTGTTGTCTTTTATCTCTTCTGCTTGGCAATTTTCTTACTCTTTCCTCTCCTAAGCAATATAACAAAGTATGAGTTTAGGATGACTAATTACAGTGTATCTCTATCTTAGTGAGTTACTCATTTCCATATCAGAGTTCTCAGGTAACTTGCTTCTATGCTTTCATACCCACAAGTTAAAAAAGGAAAGGGACATAGCAGGTAAAAAATCATAGTAAAAGTTTCTATTTCGTGAATACAAAAACGAGGAAGGTATATAAAAAAATGTAGCTTGCACAAAAACACGCCTGATAATTAAAACTTGTCACAGCACATGAAATTCCCATCAAAAGGGTACACATACTTTAGAGTTTTTTTTTTTCCAAAATAAATTGCAGTCTTCGGCAAGATTTCCATATAACCCCATACATTAACGTAATGTATTTAACGTATTGATTGACGACGTTGAATTCGTAAACGAGGATTGGTGACTAAAGCTATCGGAGGTAACGGCTCGCACTACTAAGTTCTTTATAGAGCCTTATCTAACCTTCTAAAAGTTATTTATTTGTTTCGAGAAAAGACTTAACAATTAGACGAACAAAACTTTTGGACGAAAAGACCGTAATTCTTTACCATTTTGTTCACATGCTGCGTGACAGAATGTGACGATTATTTTGGAAATACTACCTGCTAACATGGTAGACGTTTAATCCCGAAATCTAGCTCACCTCCAACTGTTGAGGAGTCTTCCCCATCCCACTCTTGATTTTTTGGTATTTTCAAGTACTGTCCTTTGGCTTGAATGTGGAAGAATTCATCACGTTTCTCTTTCTTACGCTTTCTCCCTCGAGGGTCCGCCATCTTTGACAATGGTGGTTATATACTTCATGGTTTTCGCCTATGAAGTGCATCTTCTCTCCATCTTCTCAGGACCATTCTCGGTGGTAACGAGGAATGTGAGTCAGCGGTTGGTCTCTTCAAAGTAGGAATGTGGCTTTCACGCACCTCCTCGACTAATAACGGTGGGATTGTTGCAGAAGTTTCAAATTCGAGTCAGAAGACTGGGGGGCTCACATGAAAGGGCGATTAACCGAGAAGAAGTGGTCAGTTTGGATTGTCTTTTTCAGAAGATGACATCTCAGCGAAAACAAGTTGACTTTTTTTTCAAACCAGACCAGTTAAAAAGAAAAAAACGCTAAACTTTGTTACTTACTGCGTTTTTAAATTCCACCTTGTAGCCTAACCATGAAATGGCTTGTACTAAAACACAAAACAAAAAAGCAAAACCAATGAAACGACCTGAAATATAGCAAGGCCAAACAAAGATCAAACAAAGCAGAACAAAACGACGGTAGCGAAAAGCTCTTAAAAAGCCAATCCAACACTAGTAAATAACGTTATAGACAACCAAAATGATCGCCCTAGAATGAGTTGCCATCACTTTTGAAGGTTTTGATTTACCACCGTCTTAGATTAACCTTTGAACAGGTTTTTCTTTCAGTCACATATTGTTAAACTAACTTAAAAAAACAGAACAAAAAACAGAACACAAAAGGAAGAAGACATTCCTCTGTCCGAGTTATGCCGACAGCCATACTTTACTCACTAAGTTAGGTCGGGCCGCACGGAAAAATGTTTTGCTTTAGTTAGGTCAGGAAGTAGAACAGACGGGGCATGTTTGACCGCAGGGCGCCCACACAAGCGGCGTGTCTGGTCGTTTGTTCGAAATATAAAGAAATGTATGGGAGAATATTGAAGAGTCGCAATATCGTAAACTTATATCAAGGAATGTCTATGTTAAGGCTCAAAATAAATGTAAACCTACCTCACTTGCTGTGTATTGTCGTTTCTGTGCCGTGGTTCTAAATGGCGAATTTGAGCGATTTGGTAGATTTTGCGTTGAGTGTTACTTTACTGTATAAGTAAAGTAACACTCACACTCAACGCAAAATCTACCAAATCGCTCAAATTTAACTTGCCAATTCCTAGTCCGGTTACACGAGGAGTCCACTTGTCCAACTGCAGCACTTATTTGTCGTCTAAACACCACAACACACTGATATAAAAGACAGTTGCAGCGGCCGCTTTGAAACTGAAAAGGATAGTGATTTTGACAGCAACAGTGAAAGTGAGACAGTAGTGACAGTGATGGTGACAGTGACAGAGACAATGACAGTGATGGTAGTAGTGACAAAGATGAAGATACTGGCAGTAACGGAGACAGCCAAATGAAGTAACAGTAACACTGACGGTGATAGCGACAGTGACAGAGAAAGAGACAGTGACAGTGACAATGAAAGTAACATAACTGTGGTGGGAATGGTGACAGAGACAGGGAAAGTGACGATAACACTGAGAAAGACAATGACAGTCAGAGTTACAGCAACAGAGACAGCAGCAGTGACAGTTTCAAAGTCTTCTTAAACAGAAAGTAATGCAGGTGAAAACAGCAAGTAGCCCCGAAGAAAGTCATTGCGTACATTCATCAATCTGAAAGAGAAATCGCAACGCATGGATTTTTGCTGAAAAAAGATGACACTCAGAGATAGATTCGATTCCTCTCTTTTTGTGTCTAGTGCGTTGCAATTTATTGCAATTTATTCTCGTTGCAATTTATTCCAAATTGCACGAGAAATTCATGTGATTATCTATTAATAATATACATGAAAAAATACGAGATAGCTTCTCATAACTACGCAGAAGAAAAGCGCGCGCATCACGTGCAAAAATAATTTATTCAAACCCTGCAAGTGACATTAACCTTGACATTGACCTTGACCTTGACCTTGACATTGACCTTGACCTTGACATTGACCTTGACATTGATCAATCATTCTGACCAATCAGAATGTCCGGTTTCTTTCTTTCTTTGTACTGAATTAACCCTCTTCTGCACTGAATTAACTCTATTCTGCACTGAATTAACTGAAAACTGCATTCATCTTAACCAGTCAGAACTGAGAAATTTTTTGATGTATATTATTAATTTAGAAAAGGCGCGGATCATTGTTCAAATCAGAAGTCCATTTAACAATTATTCCACGAGCGCGCGTTGGATATGAGATGATAGATAGCCAACGAGGCGCNNTATGGTGACTTGGCGGAGACTAAAGACTCTATTGAACTGCCTGACTGTGAGTACGAGAGTCTATTGGAGTTGTTTCGTTACATGTACAGCGATGAAGTGAACTTAAGTGGGAGTAATGTGATGGGAGTGTTGTATCTGGCGAAGAAATACATTGTGCCTTCACTAGCTGAGAACTGCTCGAAATATCTGTCGAAGAATTTGGATCCATCAAATGTTTTCAGTATCCTTCCTTCTGCTCAGAAGTATGAGGAGAAAGACCTGGTGGATCGGTGCTGGGAAATGATAGACGAACAAACAGCGGAAGCTGTGGAATCTGATGGATTTGCGACAATTCAGAGGTCCTTATTTGAATCATTAGTCGTCAGAGACACCCTTAGGATCAAGGAAGTGAAACTGTTTAAAGCTGTTGACTTGTGGGCTACAAACGAATGTGAGAGACAAGGTTTAGGTGCAGACGGTGCGAATAAAAGAAGAATTCTCGGTGAGGAAACAGTTAAAGCGATACGCTTCCCAACAATGACGCTAGAAGATTTCGCAAGTGTAGTGTTAGACAGTAAAATTCTTAACTCAGATGAAGTTTCCAGCATTATCAAATATCTGAGTTCAGTGTCAAGTTCTACAGGAGGATTCTCAGATTCAGAAAGGTCACCTATTTCTCATACCTGCGGTGACATTCAACGTTGTTACAGATTTAAGAACTTCAGAGGGCTTCTCTCTGATGAATGTGGCATGATACCTGCTTTTCGTGTCATTGAATTTTTCGCCGACAGAGACTTATGGTTACATGGGGTGTATATCTGTGGTATAAGTAGTATCTCAAATTGTCCAATAGAGTTGAGTTTATGGAACAAGAAAAGAAAACTGACAGAGGTTTCTGGGAAGTTTTCCGCAGAAATTGTCCATCGCCCCAATGGTACTGTCTATGCTGGTTTTAAAATTTTATTTGAAAAATTGACACCTTTGAGGAAAAACACAACGTACCGCGTTGAAGCGAAAATATTTAGTACTGTAAACTGGGCTGGAGATGAAATTATTAGTACTTTGACTTGTTCTGGTGTAACATTCACGTTTATCAAAACATCTGTGGAGGACTTTCCTGAGTTATTGTTCTCCTTCTAATTCTACTTATAATTAAAAAAATTCTTTAATTTTTGATAATTTTCCCATAACTTCTGCTTCGGTATGTAGACTCCAACTAACCCCATTTTTGAAATATAACAATGATCATTAGACATATTTTTTTGAGGCAAAAAGAAATTTCGAAAATGGAGTGTGGAGCTATTTGATAAACCATATTTTTCCTGTTGGTGAGGCAGAGATAATCTAAATCAGAGTCCCCATTTGATCTCTTTGAATGATATTGATACATCTAAGAAATTTCTCTGTTAATTTTTTTGTACCATGCTCTGAAAATATTTAAATTTTCAGTTGTTTTGGTTGTTTTTTTTCAGTCGTACAATTGTCAATGAGTTGGCAAGTTATTTTTATAATTGACTCTGTCAGGTTTAATGTAGAGTTTTCTAAAATCTTTGCCGCTATCTTGTTGTTTTCATGTGGTATTCTTTTGATTTTAGTGTTTTGGAATTAATTCTCACTAAAATTCACCAGTCTGCATCTTGCAAGTGAGGTGTGAAATAGAGTTTTCTGATGTTATCATGCATTAGGCATATTGAAAATGACTAAAGATGTAATTTTTTGGTAGCTTCTACTAACAGAAAAGACAATCATTATTAAGACAAAGTAGCTTTGATACTGGATCATACTAATTGTGTTCCTAGTCATGCAGGGCAGCAGCTCTCCTGGTCTACATGATAAAGTATATATGAAACAAAGAATGATAGCAACTGTACTACTGCTATTTTACTGTAGTTTAGTAAGAAGCAACAGTAGTGATGTGCTCTACATGTGCTCTACATGTGCTCTACAGTACTCAGGCAGTCAGAGGGCCAATAACTAAAATCAACCAATCAAAATGCTCTATTGCCGGTCAATATTCTCTCAGTATTGGACTGGGCACTGTCCCAAATGGTCCCGAATGATACCGGACTTGTGTCCCTTTGAACTTCAGTCATATAATAAATCTCTTATTAACCAAGCTTGCTCGGGACTGTACTGGAAGAATATCGGTCCTTGGTCTTTTCTGTACAGACCTCGCTGTGCTCGGTCCATACTGTCAGGACCTTGTGCCGATATTCTCCAAGTACGGCCCTCGCGCTTGGTTAATAAGATATATGTACTCTACTAAAAGATAGGCAACCAAACAAGTAGTCACCTTTGCAGCCGTTGTTTGGTCTTGTTATATCGTGCACTCTCTCCCTGGTGTTGGGGAAGAGAGCACATTGCATTACAACACCAAACAATGGCTGCATAGGAGACAAATTGGATGCTCCTTAATGAAAGTAGAATCTATGTGGGTACTTAACAATTATTCCACGAGTGCGCGTTGGATATGAGATGATAGATATCCAACGAGCGCTAATGGATTACTTGTTTTATTAAAAACGCCCCCAAGAGATTATTATTTTGTAAGAAGAAACCGGATTTTTTAGCTCCCTTTTAATTTTGAGCTGACGCGTACGCTTACCATATTTGTAGATTATGGTATATTGGCTCTTATGCCATAATGGCAAAGCCAATGAAAAGTCTTGAATTGCATTATTCAATGATCCAGTTTTTAATAATTCTTATTATGGTCTTCAGCTAATGTGATAGGCTTAGGTTAAACATCCACAGTGCAAGTTAGTGTTTGTTATTACATGTAAGTTGTAGGAATCAAATTGCTGCCTGGTTACTTTTGTATTTTCATAGGTAAAGTAATGCTTCAAGTTCTAGCTGCCAGGTTTTGATGTGTTGTACTCCGTTTACAATTGCTGTGGGTATTAGAAACTATAAATCATGGGTGTTATTTTAAAAGGAAGATAGCTTAGATGTTTGAATTACTGAAATGAAAACTGTGAAACACTGATAATAGGTGTTTAGTAGTTAATAGCAATCATTCACCAAATCGAAATATGGCGTCCAATTTGAATTACCATTGTTTTGGACTTACCAGCCTCGTCTTCACGTGGAAACACAAAAGGATTATCACATGTGTGAGAGGCCAGTAAGTCCAGAACAATGGTAATTCAAATTGGACGCCATATTTCGATTCAGTGTATAGAGTGCTGTTTTGTTGATATGTAGATGAGTCGTAATAAAACATCTTTATTCTCTACTGTTTTGATTTGGTGTTAGCATGTATGAAAGAGAATCACATAACTGGAAAAATATTAGGTTGGTGATTCGCATGAACTTGAGTATACATTTTCTTAGAAATTATTTGGTGTGGTCCTTTGAAATTAAACATCAATTATTGAAGTTTTTGTATACTTGTTCTATGTTCTGATTGGCTAACCAAGCAGGCAAGATGAGCATTTGACATTGCTACCCCCTCCCCTCCCCCCCTCTCTCTATAGAAAATTTATTATGTCCTGTGCGGTAAAAAACACTGGTATTCTTTTCTGGCGAACATCCTAATGAGCCACTCAGTCCTATAGCACTTTCGAGTTCTGACTGCAACAAAGAAAAAAGGAGACCAGCTTTTAAAATAAAAATGTCAAAAAGCTTTTTCTGTTGTGGAGATTCAATTATCAATGTTGTTATATCGTAAATAATTTCGTCAGAACATGAAATCAAATGCTAATACGGATCCTCCACACGGTCACTTGTACTTCTTTTAAGATACTTTTGACCCTGTTCTAGCAGCTTGCTTAAGGCGGTCGAGAAATAGCATCATTACTATTCGGCTTTTTTTAACAAGATTTCAAACTTTCCAGCTTTCCTTTCTCTTCCGAGTTTTTTAGGGTTCGGTGGGTAGAAGATTCGATCACGGAAGCGGTCCTAGCGAGAGTTAAAATACTGCTGTTGGGAACTCGAAATGTTCTGTCTATGTCAGGCAAGTTTCCCAAAGCCCAGCAGGTAGAGCATTGTACTGCAAAACTGTTTCCAGCAGGAGCACAAACCCTCTCTGGGTACTTGTTGCTTTTTTTTTCATTTCTTTTACTAACTTTTTATCGATGATTTGTTTCTTTTCTATTTTAAACGCAGCTTATAAATAAAGTTATGAGTCTGGAATGTCTTTGTTTTCTGTTCTTTTCGTTTCGGTACATCAGGCAAAGTTTTTTTCCTCTTATTGGCAAGTTTACCCTTTCCCCACATTCTTAAATTCACGAGCATGCATCGGAACGCCACTGGATTTGAACATTGTTGAATCAAATAGGAGATTTTTTGTAACAATTTCATATTGGAATCAAAATGATTTATCCTCAGAATGTTTGCGCACTTGCTACTTGCAGTGCGTAGTCCAGTCTTTCCAGCAAGTTCCCCACTGCCCATTGGGTAAAGCATTGTACTGTGAAAGCGATCCGGCAGACCTATCCCCTTCGTTTCTTTGTCCATTTTATACCCAGCCTACAGATAGTCTGACATGTCTTTGTATTCTAATCTTTTCATTTTGGTGCATTAGTTCTCTCCACTTTTTTGATGCTTTGTTTCTTTTCCCATTGTATACCCGCTGATAAATAGTCTGGATTATCTTTGTGTATTAATATTTTCCTGATTTTGCTACATTACCGAAACTTTTTTCCTTCTTTATTGGCAAGTTTACTCCTGTCTTACACTCTTAAATTGAGAGCACGCATCGGAACTCCACTGAATTTAAACATTAAATGATCAAATGGCAAGGTTTTTTAATTAATATCGTATTGGAGTCAGAACACTTCTTCCTTGGAATGTTTGACCACTTGATCCTTGCCTTACATAGTGTAGTCTACTTATTACCTTTAAACTAAAATTTGCTCTCGACTCTCAGGCGAGTTTCCCGCAGCTCAGTCGGTGGAGTATTGTACCGCAACAGCGGTTTCAGTCATGTTGCGGATCCTGTCCGGGGAACTTGCCAGTTTCTCGTTAGATTTCTTTTTAACCTTTTTTTGGTGTGTTCTTTCTCTTTCCATTTTTAAAGCCAGCTTAAAAATAGTCTGGAATGTCTTTTCATTTTGCTTCATGATTGAGCGTTTTTTCCCTTTTAATGGCACATTTTCCCCTTTCTTACACTCCCTAATTAAAGACGTGCATCGGAGCGCCATTACATTTGAACATTAATAAATCAAATAGCATTCCTTAAAAAGTCATGTTGGAGTCAAAATACTTCTTCCTCGGAATGTTTGCGCACTTCACCCTTGTCGTACAAACTGTAGTCCACTTGTCACATATGATCTTAAAATTTACTCTCCATTAATGGCATATCCCCCCGCAGCTCAGTCAGGATGGAAATCCTGTTCTAGGAGACTTGCCGTCTTTTTGTTATTTCCTTTTATTCTTTTTTTTTTTTGTTATTAATTTTTTCCTTATCCCATTTCATACCAAGCTTACAAATAGTCTGGAGTATTTTTGTATACCCGTCTTTTCAATTCATTACAATAGAGACAGTTTCCTTTGACGTATTGGCAAGTTTACACTTTTCCTATACTCTTTAATTTAGGAAACGCATTGGAACACTGCTAAGTTTGAACATTTTTAATTAGACAACCACATTTCCGTTGTTAGGCCATTTTGAAGTCAAAACACACAATTTCCCGGAGAACCTCTGTGCATTTGTTCCTTGCGTAAACCAATTGTTACAAATAATCTTAAAATTTACTCTCCATGTATGGCAAGTTCCCCGTAGCTCAGTGGGTGGGGGCATTGTACCGCGAAAGCGGTCCCAGCCAGGATGGAGATCTTGCTCCGAGGGACTTGCCGTTTTTTCGTTACTTCCTTTCAATCTTTTTTTTTTTATTTTTTCCTTATCCCATTTCATACCAAGCTTACAACTAGTCTGGAATATTTTTGTATACCCGTCTTTTTAATTCATTACATTAGAGAAAGTTTCCTTTCACGTGTTGGCAAGTTTACCCTTTTTCTATATTCTTTAATTTAGGAAATGCATTGGAACATTGCTGAATTTGAACACTCTTAAATCAGACAACAAAGTTTTTGTTGTTAATTCATTTTAGAGTCAAAACACACAATTTCCCACAAAATCTCTGTGCACTTATTCCTTGCAGCACGTCCTCCACTTCTTATGTCTCCATCCATGGCAA